ATTCTGGTAGTAGTAGCAGTTTCCAATGAATTTGACTTTATCAAATTTTTTTTTTTTACTTACAAATTCTCATGATTTGACATAATAACGACACTACAACTACGACAATAATAATAATAAAAAATCTCTATTGTAAAGTTGGAAAAAAAAATTTAAAATTTAATTTTCTGGTATATCTGCATTCTGACCGTATATACACAACCGTCATAAATATCGTTTATTTATTCTGTATTAAGAATTCCACCATTCCACCATGCTGAACAGAAATTCTGTTCAATCATCAATTTTGAAATAGAAAAAAAACCCACCACCACCACCACACACATACACATTTTCTTTATGACTTTTTTTGCAAAACAATCAACATTTCAGAAATCGTTTTTCTCTTTGTTCTGTGTGTATAAATCAAATCAAATCAAATGAAATAATAATAAAACCATCGATATGAATTTCCAATATTAGATTTCAATAAACACACGGAATATTGTGTGTGTGTGTGTGTGTGTGGATGTGTCCATTGTTCTTGAAAATTCAATTATCATTATTATTACCTGAAAATCTAATTTTTGTTTTTACCATCACTATGTATTTCGAAATGGCCATTTTTTCAATCAAAAAAAAAAAAAAAAAAAAAAAATTCATTATGAACTGATGCATCACGTCAAGAAGTTTTTTTTTTTTTTTTGATTTTCATTTGTACACAAAAAAAAGCCAAATAGTAAATGATATCTGACACATACACACACACACAAAAAAAACACTACCAAATCATTATTATTCATTTATCTCTATCATCATCATTATACACATTTGATCTATTGTATGGATCGATATATATATACAAAAAGATCTATGGATCTTTTATTATCATTATAAATATGGAGAAAAAAAAATAGATCGTCATCATCATCATCATCATCATCATCATCATCATAATCGAATTGCCATTATCGAAGAAGAAAAAAGTTGTTGAACACCACCACCACTGTGTGTGTGTGTGTATTAGGAAGTGGAAAGTACACGACACGAAAATAGTATCATATCATCAAGAGATTCTGTAATAATAACAGTAAAATAAAGGTAATGATAGTGGATATGAATACACACATTCATAGGAATTTTTTTTTTGTTGTAGATTATTATTATTATTCATTGTGATATACTCTTACTAGTTCTATGAAAAAGAAAAAACCAGAAATGATATGATGATGATGATGATGAATATCATCATCATCATCAATGTTTTGGTACGTGAGTTCGTTATTGTCAAGCGGTAATATTAATCATCATGCATATTAATAAAATAGAGCAAAAGAGAGAAAGATTCCTATGTCGATTCTGTTCTATTCGTGTGTGTCGACAGATAGATACGGTTATTTGATTGAAAGCCTAACGACTAGGACGACGAAGACGACGAGGACGACTAAACATTTCTACAAACGGACACGAAAACTATTTGATGGTTTTTTTTCTCTCTCTCTCTCTCTCTTGTATGTTATGGAACACTATTTTGAATATAATAACGGATGAATTGAATAATTGTGATAGATTATTGTAGCAGCAACAGCAACAACAACAACAACAACAATGTCGGGCACGTTTGATTGATTTTCTCTCGTTGAAAAGCAAAAAAAATTCATTCATTCAGATCAGATCGGATCCTATCATAATGTTCATCATCATCATCATCATTATCGACAATTTATACATTTGTCCATTATAATTATTATCATTATGATCATGGTCATTTTTATCGACCAATTATCAATTGTTCTTGTTGCCCGAATGAAACAGAATGGCCGGACAAATATGGAAAAGAAAAAATTTTCTGCCATTGAGACAACAACTCGATTTTACTGTTGGAACAAAAAAAAAAAATTTTTAAACATCCATTTTCAGGCAGCTAGCATCAAAAAATATTGTATTCATGGCACACATTCATGATATGCAAAAAAAAAAAAAAAAAATATCATATCGGTGGAATAGTAGAAAAAAAATTCCAAAGCAAAAACGAAAAAAAAATCCCGGAATTACATCAACGGAACAAGGACGAATTTTTTTTTCTCCTTCTTTCACAAATTCTTTCCTGAATCTTCCTAAATGTATCTTTCATATTTCATAGTCTGCTGGTTATTCTTTGCGCTCATTTGTTTCAACTGGAGAGAGAGAAAAAATTGGATAATATGATTGATTGCTTAGCAAGAGAAAAACGTTTCAGCTCTTACATTCTCGCTTGCCATCCAATGAAATCCATGTTAATCATGATGAGACGGTTCCAGAATCGATACGCTTATTTTATCATCATAATCATAAAAATATAATCTTGTTGTGTTTATGGTAACAAAAAAAAAAGTTTGTTTTTCTCTCTTTTTGAATAGCAATCACTAAATATTTTTTTTCTTCTAGACGTCTGATGCAATGGATTTCGTCATCATTGAATTGATTTTGATGATTAAAATTGAATTAATTAAACATGATGATATATATTGATGAAATGAAAATCGAAATAGATCAATCTTGATCGAAGAAGAGAATAAAGTTTGTTCTGTTTGTTTTGAAAAAAAAAATTCATCACAAAATAAAAACAACAACAACAACAACAATGTCAAGGTATCGATGAAATTGTTTTTGTTTTTGTTTCATTTGCAATCAATTATCGACAACAGAAGTGAATTGTGACAATTCAATAAAAAACAACAACAACAAAAATAGAATGTGTACACGAAATGAAAATAGAAATCCAAAAATTCTTCAATATAACACAAATCGATAGCGAGAAAAAAAATGGATGGATGATAAATTATGTCTGTGTGTGTCTGTGTGTAGGTTGAGATTAGGACATCAAAAGATCAATTTTAATTAAAAATAAAATCTCTATTTTTTTCTACATCCATCGGACATTGTCTCTCGATTCGATTCGACTTTTTTTCTCATATCGGATAACAAATTGTCAATTAACAGTGAACGCGAACAAAAAAAAAACGAAACATAAACAAACGACGACAGGAAAATCACTCGTGGGACTTGATTCTGTGCTATGAACAACACATAATGAAAGGCCAAAAGTTTTGAGAGAGTAAAGAAAAAATCCAATTGACCCCGCCATAGGTTGTGTTCAGTATTATAATAATAATAATAAAAAAAGATCAAATCAATTGATTATCAAACAAACTGATGTATGAACGATAGATTCGATCCAATTGGATCGATACGAAAAATAATCATTAATGCTATTCTGTTATCTGTAAATATTATATCCAATCACAAAGGTGACATATTGACAAAATATAAACATAGCGACAAAATGTGAACATGATGGACAATAAATGAATGAATGAATTTCATTGATTATTGAATCATTGAAATGGCCAAAACACGATCAATTTTACAATTTTGACATTGAATTTTTTGTTTCCTACATCAAATGAAATCGGTGAAATTATCAATAATTTAAGAATAGGAATGATTGTGTGCATGTGTGTGTGTGTGTGTTTTCCTGTTACTTGCTGCTGTCAATCAGAGAGATATAGTCTCATTGCATGCATATAGAAATTTATTCTAGAGAGAAAAGAAAAAGGAAAAAATTCGAATAAACTTTTTTATTACTTTTTCACTTACAAAACTTTTCAATTTATTTTCAATGAATGGAAAAGATTTCTGAATATCCTCGACGTTATTGCCCGGCAATCGTTTGAATTTTATTTTTGTCTTCACTGTTGTTGTCGCTGTTGTTGTTGTTGTTGATCTAAATTCAAAACAAAACAAAAAAAAATTCTTGAATAATTCGTCTATGGCAAATGGTGTTCTTACTATTTTTGTTTCACTGTCCAAGTGTAACAACATCTCGATAGTAGATCTCTCTGTTCAGCATCCAACATCACATCAATGAATTTATTGATTGAATGTGTGTCGAATATATTTTTGAAATTATGACAAACGATATTAAAGTTTTTTTTTGCCATCGTCTTCATTTCACTGTTTATTATGGTTGATAGTTTTTTTTTCTTGGTTTCCTATATCGCCGATAATTCGATATATGGGAATAATATTCATTCTCATTAATTATTCCATCAGAGTCTTTCTTCAATCGTTTCGGTTTTTTTTTCTTCACTGATAGATTCCCGAATCCTTCTAGTCTTTTTCGATTTTTCATCAGAACGATTTCAGAGCAATTGTTTTGATTAGTGATGGTTGTTATGAATGAACGATTGCCCAAAAAAAACGAAGAACGAAGAAATTTGCATATATCAAGTTTGTTTGTTGTTGTTGTTGTTGATAGTTGATGATGAAATCTCGACAACAATCGATTATTATTCATTAATCGAAAAATTATCATCAAAAAGCATCATTATTATCATTATCATGGATGAATGGTTAGATGGATTCTAGAAATAGAGAATTGCCAAAACGGCAATTCACAATGAATAATCAAAACACAAAAAAAACGGCTAGAACCGAAAAAAAAGCTGATTCAATTCATTCAGTCATTGACTTTTCACATATATAAAACAACTCAATCGTTGCCATTCATTTCTGTTGTTGCAAATAAGAAAAATAAATAAGATTTTCTGTGGCTCCTAAACATTCACATAAATATATATACTCACAGCCGAAAAAAACCAAAATAGAAAAAAAACCGAATTGGCGGCCATGGTTTCTTTTTTTTGGTATTGGTGGTCACGATGAAGAAATGATTTGATTTCATTTTTATCCCTAAGTCAGCAGAAAATGGAAAAAAACTCAGCCATTGGTGATGCACAATCATTTTCAACCATAAGATTTGTCCAATAAATTTTAACCAAGTGAGAGAATAAACCGATACAGCAAAAAAAGAAAAAAATTCGACGAAAAAAAACAAACAAAAAAAAAAAATGTCGAAAATTGAATTCCATATTCTGAACAAACAAACAAACAAACAAAAATTAATCCTCTTCGAAAGAGATTTTTACATCATTCGAATTCGGATGGAAAAAAAACAAACAACGTAACGACATCTATTGTTCAGGATTAGAATGATTTTATTTATTTATTTTATTTTGGCCAGATTTTTAATGATTTTTCTTCATCATTTAATGGCACAAATAAAGATTTTAAACATAGCCAAGTGTTGCCCATCGGCCATTTTTTGACCATCAATGCACGACGGAAATTGACATATGATAATTTTATATCATTAACCACTTCATCTAGATTTTTTTGTTCCAATTTTTCTTGGAAATATTCAATTAGTTCACGTTTGACAATATTCAAATCAACATCTGTTGATGGATGGTTATCCAATTCATGACGAATCGAATGTAATTGTTCGGAATAATATTGTAGTACGGATGCAATACCGGTGAAATTACGTTCAATTTCCTGTACGTTCAATGATTTCATTGAATGTTCGAATTGTTTGATTTTATCCGAAAATTGTTTCATATCATCACGAACTTGATTTATTCGATCATCAATTTTATCAATACGATTATTCATTTTGTCCATTTTTCTTTCCATGTTATCAAATCGTTTTTCCATATCTCTGCGCATTCGTTCCATATTACGTTCGATTTGTTGACAGCATTGGTTGTTATTGTTATTGTTATTATTATTATTATCATTATTGTCACAATCATCACAATCATCGTCATCGTCATCGTCATCATCATCGTTATCGTTATCATTATCATGATCTTTTACAAATCGTTCACAAAGAATACCATTCGATGCAAAACAATAATTTTCAATCCATTTTCCTGGTTCCGATTCATCCATACCATTCATTTGCATGCAAGCTTTTGCAAAATTCATTGTTGGATGATTTGAAGCCCAATTAGCGTAAACATCACCTTCGATTAGAATTCCATCATTACGCCATGAAAATTTAGTATTCTGTCGATGTCCACCAACCCATACACTTTTGCCATAACCAATATTGCGCAGATAATTTTCAAGAAATTTTTGTTCATCTGCTGAATAGATGGTCACAGCACGTCCACGTGCTTGACCACAATATCGATCACTGTCAGAAAATTCGCCATTTTGATTACGGATCAACTTGTAACATTTGTTATTACGACAAGACCATTCATTGTTGTTATTGTTGTCATGATTATTATTATCGTTATTGTCACAATCATCACAGTCATCGTCATCATCGTTATCGTTATTGTTATCATTGTCATTATCTTTTACAAATCGTTCACAGAGAATGCCATTCGATGCAAAACAGAAATTTTCAATCCATTTTCCCGGTTCCGATGCATTCATACCATTCATTTGCATACAAGCTTTGGCGAAATTCATTGTCGGATGATCTGAAGCCCAATTAGCGTAAACATTACCTTCGATTAGAGTTCCATCATTACGCCATGCAAATTTAGTATTCTGTCTATGGCCACCAATCCATACATTTTTTCCGTAACCAATTTTACGTAGATAATTTTCAATAAATTTTTGTTCATCTGCAGAATAGATAGTCACTGCACGTCCACGTGATTGACCACAATATCGATCACTATCAGAATAGGCACCTTGATGATTATGGATCAACTTGTAACATTTGTTATTATGACAACACCATTCATCGTTGTTGTCACTACAACCAGAGACTATAATAATCATGGTGAACAAAAAAAAAAAAAAAATAGGAATCATAATATAAGAGAACAAAAAAAAATCACTTACTAGTTTGAATGAATACAAAAATCAAACAAACAATAATTTGTTTTGAAAAATTCATCATCATTATTTCACATAAGATATATTTTGGTTTGAATCAAATGAGAACACAATGGTTTATTTGGACAAAAAATCTCGTCTTTTAATATGGAAATGGAAAATTGAAATAACTACATCATATTTGCACTAATTACTTTATCGGCCCCAAAAAAAAAAAAAAAAAATTTTATTAGTTATTAACACCAAAATTGGTGATTGCCGCCAAAATGTCTGTATGACAAACAAACCAAAAAAAAACGATGATGTTTGTATAGGGATGAAAAATCCAGAAACTTCAGGATTTACCCTATTTTCCAAATATATATAATACTTTTATTATTATTACCAATTTGTTAACTATTGCCATTTCCATTGTTATAACAAAAACAAAAATTACACTGATACACACACACGTGATAGTCATTTGATAATCCCGTATATAATGAGGATTATGAAGGCAATTTTTTACCCAACCAAAGATAAAGAATAACGAAAAGGAATCAAAATAAAAAAAAACACAGTCATAAATTTTTATTTTTCAAATGTCAAAAGAAATTTTTTTTTTATTTTTATTTATTGCCGCATCCTTAATCATTATTTAGTATTATATATGGTTATAAGATCGTATGATTTCATAATTATTAACGCATTTTCAATTTTCAACACACACACACACATCCAGTGATTTTATGACATTGAATATGGTGATGTTTAGTAGTATCTAAGTGACATGAATGCATTCAATTTAAATTTAAATTGGAATTTGCACTAGGAAATTCTGTTAATCTTATCATTTACATATATGTGTGATTATTAGTGCACTAAAACAAAAAACAACAACAACAACCGAAAACAAACGAAAACAAATATGTAAATCTACATTCATCTTATTTCAATCTATTTGGATTACAAAAATTGATTAAATTAATAATAATGATGATGATGGTAACCGATAATGATGGTGATAATCATTGTGAACAATAATGATTGCATTAGATTTCCATTGCCCATCATTAATTGTTGGCTACCATTACATTGTAAATCCGGTAATGATGTACAATTTTTATTTTTTGGTCGTTTAAAATATCGTTCATATGTGGAAAGAAAACGGCAATCATCCTGATGACGAGATGGTGATGTTGATGATGATGATGATAATGATGATAACGATGATGCATCTTCGCATGATAATGTTTGACGACAATTTGACCATTTTTGATTACAGCAGCAATAAATTTCTTGTTCATCCATTGAATCTTTTACACAAACATATGTTTCATTGGAACATTTTTCCAATTTACTCAATTGTTGTTGGCTAAGATTTGTTATTATTGCTTCAATGTTCACATTGAACATGAATACAAACAACAGAATCAAAAGAATATTCGAATTGATAAATAGTAAAAATGAATTCATGGTTGATTGATTGATTGATTGATGAACAACAACGAAAAAAAAACCAAGAAAATGCCAGCAAAACGGAAAATTTAAAATTTTACAAACGACCAATACGTATTGGCGATGAAATTCAAATGAATGTTTCGAATGGACATTCGTTTATATTTTGTCCAGTAACAAAAAAAAATTTTAGGTTGGATCAGATCACAAGCAAGTAATCAACATACAAATTGTCAACATTATTATTATTATCATCATCATCATAAAATGATCAAGAATATTACCCATTTAAATATATATATACTTTCTGTTTATAATAAACAATAAACAACCAAAATATCATGCAATGACCATGAATGGCTAATGATATGTGGAGCCATTATTTCGATTGATTTGAAAACTTCAATAAACTAAACAAAAACAAAACGAAACAGATGACTAAATGTTAATCATAATAATCATAATCATGCACCGAATTGATAACTATAGTGAAAATAATAATTACAAAAAAAAATAGGAAAAACAAAACAAGACGATTATACGATGATTCAATGTTTTTTTAAATATTAATTTGTTGCATTCTTGTATGTTTTTTCAACAGAATGATGATGATGATTATTATTATTATTCAACCATCCAAATGTGAACATGGTTAATCCATTTCCATTATTATTCACCACATTGCCAAACAAAATGTTTTGAAAATTAATCAACACAGACATAGAAAAAAAAATCATCAAACATTTCTCCTTGGTGATGATGATCCATGAAAATTTTCCTTCCACCCACCACCACCACAAACAATCTCTTTTTCACTATATCTCTTGATTAGAATAAACAATGAATTCTGTTCCAGAAACAAACGAAAAAAAAATCAAGGTTGACCTACAAAAAAGTTTCCAGAATAGTTAAATATTTAAAAAAACGAACATTATTTTTTCATTTATTCTAATTGTTAATGCAATTCTTATATATGAATTATCATCATCATCATCATTGTGGAAGAAATAAAGAGAGAGAGAAAAAAAAATATCTGAATACAAGAGAAAAAAAAAGATTAAAAATGAAAAATATTATGAAGAAAAAAAAAAATTAATCAATCAATCAATATTATAAATGTGTATGTGTGTGTAATAATAATAATAAAAAAAGAAAATTTATATCTTGTGAGAAATTGAACAAAATTTTATATTTGCAAAAATGAATATTATGAAGATAATGGGTGTGTGTGTGTTGGGTGGTGGTGGTGGTGGTTGGGGGTGTATGGCTGATATATATTGTTAACTTATACATTAAAGATATAAAGATATATAGATTATTATTCATTGTTTGATGATGTGGGAGTGTGTGTCCAGAATTTATTCTTCATCATCATCATCATTATTTATTTGGTGTGTGCGTCCATCTTCGTTTCTCATGGGTGTGTTTGGGTGGGTGGTGTGTGTATAAATGTTTTAAATTTTGTGTTATTACCAATTACAGGTTTCTCCATCAGATCAGATCACTGAATTGAGATCAATGAAACGGATGATGGTTGGTTTTTTTTAGTAGATTTAAGAATTTTTTTATTTATCTTCTTTTTTTTCTTAAGATGATCATGTTCGTTACATTGGTTTATTATAAGATGAATGAATGAATGTTTTAATTGGTGTCAAAAAGATTTCGATTTTTTTTCTCCTATTGTTCAATTGTCATTATCATTTCATTTCATTTTTTCATAATCAATAATCAATAATGTTGACGAAATTGTGAATCATTACGATTGTTACTTGACATGAATGATTGATCTCGTTGTTGTGGTGGCGCAAAACGATTACGATTTCCAACACCACCGCCTATACCACCACCACCACCACCTTGATTATTGTTATGTCTAGCTTTGCTAACCGAAATCGGTTGTGCACCAAGCATCATTGATTGTTGGCTCAATGCCTGAAAATATTCATTTTCATCATCAAATGAAACAAAACCAAATCCTTTACTAATGCCATCATTCATGATAACTAATCAGACAAAAAAAAAAAAAGAAAATTAAAAATGATTTTTATCATAAAGAATAAAAAAAACATACCTTTCGCCGATGAAACAGATGGATAAAAAGCCAAGAATGCGTTCAACAATACATCATTATCAATTTGTGGTGGTAGATTGCCAACGAATACGGAATAACGTCCACTGCGATTAGCTCGTTTCAAAAAGAATCGTTTGTCCTACAAATAAATAAAACGAGAAAAGAATAGAGAATTAGAAATAGGTAAAATGATGATATCAAATCGAAATCATGGTGGCTCTAATCACACCTCACGTTCAAGAACATGAAAAAAATTTGAAATCTATTTTTTCCACGTGTTCAGATCGATTGGATGGATAAGATTAATAATAAATGAAAAAAAAAATTATCTTTACTTCTTCAACATTTGGCATTTTCTTTCCGTTCAGCTCTCGAAGTACTTCTTGGGCAGTACTACGATCATCAAATGAAACAAAACCATAACCAAGCGGTAATCTGATGATGATACAAATTAGAAATTTACAAAACTAAAAAAAACTGATTTCGATTTCTACACATACCCATTATCTTTGTTTCGAATAATTTTGATATTGTGTACATTGATGCCAAGCAAATTGAAGGCTTCTTGAATCAAATTTTCATCCATTGAAACATCAATCTGAAAAATAAAACAAATTTACTCATTGATTTCATTGATTTTGATTAGCAAAAAAAACATACATTTCCCATCCATAGTGTTTTGGATGAATTTTGATCAGATTGAAAATTTTGTCGATTATCCATACGCCGTTGATTGGAATTAGGTGGTGGCGGTACACGTGTTGGAACTCCGTAACCATTTGTAGCAGGATAACCAGCTTGTATATGTGTCGGTACAGCATTCATATGATGAATAGGTGCTGGTTGTGGATAAAAATTCGAATACATATCCATTTTTTGTTTGTGTTTGTTTATTGATGATTTATCAATCGGTTTTGTTCTTTTGTCGTTATAATTTTGGAAGAACAATTAAAAGAGGAGGAAAATTTTGGCAATCTAATTAAAAAATATATAAATCGATAATCGATAAATTGATATACAAAAAAAATGAATAAATTTTTCTTGGAAAAAAAAATCTACGATGATGATGATGATGATAATATAATGATATTATTATGTGATGCGTATATTTTTTTTTTTTTTTTTTTTTTTTTTAAGAGAGAATGAGAAAAAAATGGCCAGAAAACAACAATATGCTCACTTGGCATGCAGGGCGATGGGAAAAAAAAATCTGCCACTCATGCACACAAATAGAAGTAAAATAGTAAAAAAAAAAATGAAATCCATGCACACACACCAACAAACACACACACACACACACACGGTATAGATTTTATGGATGCCGCAAACAAAATACAGAAAAAAACAATCGATTGTTTTTTACACCTTAAATTATTATCATATATCGATAGTTCATTTCAATTCCAATCATTGGATGGCGTTGTCGACAATTTTTTTTTTATTTTGAATTCGAATTTTTCATGATTCAAGACTTGAAAAAATTCCATTCCATTATTCATTCTATGGATAATGATGATAATTATGATGATCATTATGTCTACAATTATTACGAGATTTTTATTTTTCTCGAAACAAAAAACAAAAAACGTTTGTATGGAGAGAAACAAATGAATGAATGAATTTATTTTTGTTTTTTCTTTCCATTCTCAATGTCAATCTTGTTGTTTTGTGTTTCATAATTATGAATCTGATTAGTATAATTAGAACTAGTTGGAATCATATGACCATCTAAAAATAACCATCATCATTGTCATTTTAAAGTTCAAAATCCTAGTTTTTTTTTTTTGATTTTCTCAAATCCATGACGAAAAGAAAATTTATCGTTTCAATGTGAATATGATCAACATTGACATCCAATTTGGATTGAATATAATCGACACGATTGAATAAACTCAACAATGAGATTGAGAGTGAGAAAGAAACATTCGAACCTTGAAAATTACAATGTCAAATTCTTTTTCCACCATTCGATTTCTTCCGACATAATATTCAAAATCAATTCAATTGAATAGCCTTCATTGTCATTCATGGTCTTTTCTTTTTCGTTGTTCCAAATTGCAATGAATTGAATTCAATGTAACATGGATTCAAACGACGACCACGACGATGACAAATAACAACAACAACAACAAAAAGACAAAATTGACAAGGTCAAAATCATTAAACAAAACAAAAAAAATTGACAATGATATCACTGTTGTACATATTTGTATTGATGGCCAATGTTTTTTTTTTTTTACCATTCCGTAGCACACGTATTTCCTTTCCATATTATTGTTCACAATCATTGTTTGAACGAATGGAAAAACCTTGTTCGTGGACTTTGAAGCAATGATGATGAAAATCTTTGGCCAAACAACATTGCATCAATTATGTTGATGTTGGTTGTTATTACTCATCATTTTTTTTCATATTTCTCTTCAAAAAAAAATCATTTAAAACTCACCTGACCACTTTTACTTTTTTTTTTGTTTTCTTCCTATCGATCAACAACGATACATTTTTTTGTGCTTCAATCCCTCATTCACACACACACATACACAACATCACAGCACAATGTTCATTATTATCGTCGTATTACATTAATGTCAATGTGAATATTTATCTCATTTCTATGGCCGCGGCCACTGCCGCCACTGTTTGTTTATTTGATTTTCAAGTTTTTTTTTCAAATTTCCTTTATTTAGCCATTTTTTTTCTTTGTTACTGAAGTTACTAAAAATACCTGATTTCTAATTTTTCCTTTCATTTAGTAGTAGTAGTAGCGGCAGTGGCAGTGGTGATGATTTTTTTTTTTTTTTGTTATTCAACGATGCAGCATTCAAGACGTTTTTGATTTTGATTTTGGATTGTTATTCATATCCGACACATTCGTAAATCAAACATCATATCGATAATACGTCATATGTTTGAAGTTCATTCACCAATTATTCAGTATCGATTGATTACGAATAATAATAAATTATTTCTGTTTGTGAAAAAATTCTTGTGCTGATTATTTATTCATCCAAATCGTACACACACACACACACACACACACACACATATTCTTTGTTTTCAAATTCCTATTAATCAACAATTCTTGGATCAACAATGCCTACCTATGATGATCGTAAAAAAACTGTCAACTATTATGGAGTGTTTTCCCTTTGGGCATCGGTAAATATTAGAATTTTTATCATGAATTGACATTAATTGCTTGTTTTTTTTGTTTGTTTGTTTGCAATATTATGGTTTTGTTCATCACGAAAAAAATAGCTTCTGTTGTTGGCATCATATTTTTCATTATTCACAAGTGGTTGTAAACAAGTGGCAACAATGGAAATACAAATCAGTCTGGCTGTTGCATTTGCGTTGGGTTTGATAATATTTTTATTAAGCTTCTGCAATATCGCTAGCCGTTTGTATCATTCAAAATTTAGTTTTTATCTGGTAAGTGGAAAAATTCCGTTGAATCATCGATGGAAATTTTTTTTTGTTGTTGTCAATTTCTGTTTTTTCACACATTTTTTTTTCTTGATGAAAAAATAGATTGTCATTGCATTATTAGCACTGGCCACATTATTATCATATCAAGCATATCAAACATGGAATCATGAATGTAAAGTTGGCCGTTATTATGAACGTAATAATCAACTATTATTCGATAATATGACCGTAAAAAGAGAAGAATTTGAACAAACATTACAGTCAATATATAAGAAACGTAATAATCATTATAATGTATCGGCATTATTAGATCTCATTGCAGCCATACTATTTATGGCATCTGCTTATGCATTCAGGAATCGTTTCTGACCAACGGGTATTCAATTCATCATCATCATCATCATATAAATTGCCTAACAAACATGTTCAATAGAATACGGATTGGCCAGAATAATGAAAAAAAAATGATCAAAATATTACAATATTTTGTTTTTAATCAAATTCCCTTATTCATTCATTCATCGTTATTTTGGATTTCAATTTCAATTTCAATTTTATTGGTTGTTGTTTTTTTTAAAATTTGTCTTTAGATTCTGGCCATATTTCTAGTCGAATGAAAATAAAAATTTTTTTTTTTGCAAAACAAATTTTTTTTTCCATAAAATATGAAAAAAAATAAATAAAGGTGTGAATCGATCAATTTTACATTTAATAAATGGCCATCATCACCATCACCACCACCACATCAAACATCATCAACAAGTTTATTATCGGGGAAAAAAATCGTAAATTGAAAGAAGAAAACTGAAGAAAAAAAAACTGTCAATATAATAATCAATTAGCCACTTTCATGGGTTGATCACGATCGATTAGCAAAATAGAAGAAAAATTGAGAGACAAAAAAGAAAATTGAAATTTTTAATCATCAAATTCAACCAATAATAATGATGATGATGACGATGATGATGATAATGCGTTTTAATCGAAATTTTCTCTTTTTTTTCACTCTCTCCTTGATACATTAATGACGATCAAAAAATGATGATGATGATGATTATCGTTTGATCATGAAATCATTAACTAAAAGAAGAAGAAAAAAAAATATGGTAATGAAAAAAAAAACAGAAATGGCCACGAAATAGTACAAATGCATACCACTGTGAGAACGAATAGTGAAAAAAAACAAGATAATAACTTTCATTAGTTGTCATCATCATCATCATCATCATCATTGCTGTCGTTCAAGTCATCAATTATCAAAAAAAAAAAAAAAAAATCAAAACTTAAACGACAAGTTGCTGCTGTGCATTTTTTCATTTATAAAAACCGTCAGTCATTTGTTCAAAAAAATTTTATTTTTATTTCATTTCGAACAACATTGTCCACATAATCAAATTTCGAACTGTTTTTAGTGTGTGTTTTTTTTTGTTTTGTTAAATCATTGTCCAACATTAATAACATCGAACATCGAAAACATGTCAGAAATTGAATCATTACGTGTACGTTTCAATAAAGAAGTGGATGAAAATCCATCACTATATCATCCAATTGATGTAGAACGTGTACAGAAAGAAGAATGGCAAGTTAAACGTTATCTACAAGAATTTAATAATAACGAAGAACAAGCATTTGAATTGATGAAAAAAGCATTACAATGGAAAAAAGAATTCGGCATACATGATCGTACTGATCAATATTTTCCATTAGAATTTTATGATTCAACTGAATTTCTTGGCCGTGATAAACAAGGACGTTATGTTCAGCTTGAAATATTTCGTAATCAAATTCATTTTAAAGAATTAACACTTCTTTATCGCCAATATGTTGTCCATAATCTTGAACGTATTGATCGTATGGCCGGTGAACAAGGTTTCATACTATTGATGGACACTAATGGTGCTGGTGTTTCCAATATCAATCTAGATTTGACTAAATTTAAATTAAATGTCATTGAATTATATCCAGGAAGTTTGCAACAATTTTTTGTCATCGATCTACCATGGTTATTGAATCCAATTATGAAAATAATTGTAGGTTTTATGGCTGCCAAAATACGTGAAAAATTAGTATACATTAAACGGCAACAATTATTGGATTATATGGACGAAGAAAATCTACCCGTATCATTGAATGGTAAAAAAGATAAGTCACATATGCCGGACAATCTTGAACGATTGGAAAAATGTTTCGAACGTTTTGCATTGAACGAAAAATTTGTCGATCAATATTATTCAACAAGAAAAATTAAACGATCCAACTAAACTGGTGTGGTGACTAGAAACAAAACAAAACAAAAAATTTCAATGACAAATCAATAACTAATTCATAACATTTCGACATTTATTGATTGATTGATTAGACAATGTATAGATAAATAAACAAAAAAAAATTTTGTACTCTTCCAAATGAAAATTGATTAATCATTAATTAATTAATGACTGAATGAATTCTGGTCTAGAAAAAAAATGAATCACTTTAGTGTTTGCTAAATTGAATTTTTCTGTTATTTACAATTAAAAAAAATCATCAAAATGTGTGTGTGTGTGTCCAATTAAACAATGAATGATTTCATCATGTAAACAAAACACAAGATTGTAATTATTGGTTTTTCCACCATAATCATCGTTGTTTTTGTTGCCGTTGTTGCCGAAGATGATGATGATGATGATGATGATGACGATGCTTGATGTTGATAATCATTGTAATCATAGTTCTTATCTCCCATCAGATTGTTGTTATTATTATTATTGGTCAAATTATTATTTGATTGATGAAAATTTTGCAATTGTTGATTCTGTTGCCGGCCTTGATATGTATAGATATATGTTGGCCATGATGATAACATGTATGGTGTAGATGGTGGTGCAATTTCTATTTTTTTTTTTTTTTAACGAAAACGAAAAAATTTAGTTTTGAAAATGAAAACATTGAAAAATTTGAATATGCTCACCATATAAACGAACTAGACCTTCTTTTTCACCCAATACATTTTTGGCAACACATTTATAGCTACCGAAATCTTTTTCATCCAAATTGAATATTCGTAATTTCATTTTTGTACGATATGATTCATGTTCTTCATTCATTTTATATTTGGTCGTTAATGATTTCGGTATCGTTTGGCCATCATAACGAATCCATGATGTTATTGGCCGTGGTGATGCTTCACAACGACATTCCAATTGTACATCACTGCCAATGGTTGATCCGACCAATTGATTGGATACTTTGATTTTTGGTCGAACTAAAACAAAATAGAATGGAAAAAAAACAACAACAACACAAATTTTTAAAATTCTCAGATTGTCATATCAAAATTCAATTGTAAAATTTTCCATTTCAAGCACGATGTATATGCTATGAGTATTAATAATATTGTACTTGAAAGAACAGTGCAGTAATATTTTGTTGTCCACAAAAAATTCGACATCCTGCCAGGAAATCAATCGATCCATCGATCGATCTTTATTTCGAGCTAAAAATGATGAAACATGATAACATCATCATAATCATTAGCTAGTAGAAATGAAAAACAGAATTGTTGATTAAATTTAATGTTTTTCTCCAAACTATCGTCGACATTTTTTTTTTTTACTTGAAACAAAGAAAGGTCTCTGGCATTTTTTTTTAATGAAATCAAAATACATTCGCACTAAAAACCAATCGACATTTGCACCGTGAAACGAATGTCGATTACATCGATATATATTAATCGCGATGTTCATCATCATTATAACATTCGAATGGAATTCTTTGTTTGACTTTGCTTAGAATAGTCTTTTTTTCTGTCTGTTTTAGAATTCAAGAATTTGTTATTATATAGAATAGAAAATATTCTCATGATATAATCATGATCTTTATCATATATTCAAATTAGTTGAAAAAGAATGTTTTCGAAAGTAAAAAGTAAAAAAATGCCTGAATCGGCAGAATATAGATTTGTTAATGTTTGAATTTTGTTAATTATCACTACTACGTGTTTCGGATCCTCTAGAAAATCCTCCATTATCACTATAATCATCATCATCATTCGAATGTTCTGGAATGTAATTTGTTGAACAATCCAAGAAGCAAAAAAAAACAACAACAACAACATACTCTTGCGGAGGCAGGTTTTACCCCCTACCACCACACAGTAGAACAGAAAAATCTTCAATTACGATATATTGCAATCACTTACAATTGACATGTACAATAATCCTTTTGCTTACACTTGGAGGCACTGAATTGGATGCTATACAAAGATATGCGCCCATATCATCTGTTTAATAAAACGAAAAACAAAGTAAAATAAAGATTCGTTAATTAAATAATTCGTCCAATGGTCATTCAATTTGTACAAACCTCTTGTTACTTGAGTAATGTTAAGAAATTCTCCTTCAACTTTTTTTGCTGTTCATCGATGATGATGATGATGATATTTTTAAATTCATAGAAAGAAAAGATGGACAGTTAATTGATTTTTTTTTGAATATGTAAATGAATGTTCATCATTATTACCTGAATATCGTTTACCACCATAAAGGCCAAGATTGATATCTTTATTATCTTCACGACGCCAAACAATATTCGGTGTTGGATGGCCATTTGCACGACAATGTATGGACAGGCGATGTCTTTCATCAACACTAACATCTGAACTGGTTGCATTATAATCGATTGTTGGGGCAACTATAAAATCAAACAATCAATATCACAAATATCTAATAATACAAGAGAATAGAGTACTTACCAAGTATATCGAGAAAGGCAGCTTGACTTATAAGTGGCTCGGTATTTATCTGACACATGTACCATCCTGATGATTTTTTAAAAGTAAAAACGAAAAATTTCTTATTTTACATAGAGAAATCCTAAATCATCATCATTTACCTTTATCAATTGATTTCACCTGTTTAATATAAAGGAACCATTGTTTTTGATTATTATTTGCAACACGAAAACGTTGATCTTTTGTTATCAATTGTGTTTGTATGGAAATTAATTCCGGTTCAATTGTAGGAAAATTTTTGCCACCACCACCATCACCATCATTATCATCATCAGTATTATCGAGTGTTTCGATTTTTAGCCAGGCAATCTAGAAAAACAACAGAGAAAAAAAGAATTCAATGTAATTTTTTTTCCATTTCAAACATTAGTGAAATCAGATTGAATGAAAAAAAGGGTTAACAGTAGTTTTCCGGTCATTTTGTCATGATTGAAAATTAAATTATCAATGACGGTGTTGGCCGACCAACCAACCAACCAACCAACCAACAACAACGTAAACGGTGAACTCAATTAATCTAAAAACATTGGTAGTATGAAGAAAAAGTTTGAATCAAATGAAATTAATGAACCTAATGCACACACTACAGACAAAAAAAAAATCATTTTGGAAATGTTTCGAATTGAATTTTGATTCAAATTGAGAGAGAGAGAAAAAAAGGACATTTCATCCACACAACAACGAATGGAATCAACTAAAAAATGATGTGAAAAAAAAAGAAAAAATTCATCTCCACAAACAAACAAATACAAACTATATCGGTTGACAAAATCTAACCTAATCTAATCTCTCACATAGAGAGAGAATTCTGGGTTTCGATTTTTTTCTTTCTTTCGCAATAAATAAATAAATATTATGTAAATGTAAACAGCCATGAATGTGATATCATTCATCTTGAAATTGATCCCATTCATGGGAATAAATTTATCATCGAAAAGGATAATATTTTGGTCAAACGGAAATAAATAAATACAAAAAAACGGTAAAAGGGATTTTTTTATCATACTTTACTTAAACAGATTATCACAACAGTGTTATATATATATTCAATCATCTGTCGATTGTGATCGATATAACTTGGATCCAATAAAAAAAATAACCAAAATCATTCAATTTCGTAATGTATTCATCAATTTTGATAATTTTTTTTTCTATTTATCATTCATCCATCAATTCAAAATTGAATCCATTCAAATATGGATATGGATATCTATCATTTTGGTTTCTTTATGTTTCAATTAAAACAACAACAACAACAACAACGGGTTGTGTGTTTGAGGTTTTTGTTTGCATCATCTGTGATATATTCACATAAATTCAAGACGATTGACTAAAAAAATTCTGAATTATTCCTTCCATATATATATATCAATGTCAAATGTATCAATCTATCAATATTGAATTTTTTTTTCTGTTTTTTTTTTTTAATAAAAATTGTCCTTGTCGCATAAGAAAGAAAGAATGACAAAAAAAAGAGTCTTATGAGGATTTTTCTTTTGGACTTGTTGTGATTGCGTACTGAATGTAATGTGTGTGTGCTTGGAATACGGAATCCAGTTCATCCGATTGTGTGTGTGTGTGTGCAATGAATGTGTGTGGAAAAAAATGCGCCATACAAAAACATGAATGAAAACAAGATTATCTCATTGAATACATGAACATCCGACAAAGGGGAAAAAATGATGTGCGTGTGTGTGTCTGAGATATAAATGAATTAATAACTTTTTCTTTTTCGTTTGAAAAATTATTGAAATTTTTTTTCTTTACTCAATGGAAAAATTTTGACGAAGGATAAATGAACACAGTGTGAATGTTTATGCAGAATTTGTAGAAAGTGTAGAAAAAAAAAAATGCAGAGAAATGTCACTTTTAATGAATAATATGTTTCTATGAATGAATATTCGTGATTCATTAATTTTTCCTTCCAACTACAGTAGTGGCAATTTGTTATTCAAGATGGCAAAAGTGAGAAAAAAAAATAAACGTCCAACGTCAATTAGTTAGTGAGAATGAGAAAATGGTTTAGCAAAAACAAAAAAAAACTTTTAAAAATTAAGATCCATATATACATACATTATATATAATGATGGTGTTTTGTTAAAATGTAAAATTTTCAAAATGAAAATGAAATTCAAAAACAAAATTTCATGCAATATAATTGAATTGAAGAAAAAAAATTTGACGGAAATTTTTGTTTTTGTTTTTTGTTTTTTGTTTTTACTTGAAAATAAACAGAAATTTTATGGAAATTTCATCATGATTGGTTTTCGTTTTTTTTTTTTGTATACAAACCTTGTATGAGCCTAAATGATTGACTGTACATTCAAATACAACATCACGACCAAGTGCGATTGTTTGATTTGATATTTGGCTTATGAATTCTGGTGCATCTTTACCACCAACACCACCACACCACCACCGCCATTATCGTCAATCGTTTTTGTTGTTGTCGTTGTTGATGATGTTGATGTTGATGCCGTTATTATGGACGATGATGATGATGATGATGGAAAAGAGGCAGAATATTTCTTATTATTATTATTATTATTGTACAATGTTGATGAAATAAGATTGGATGCAAAATAATTTGTTAAAGATCTTATTCGATGATTTCGGTAATCACGATGATGATGATGATGATGAGGATGATGTTGATGTTGATGATTTGAAATTTCGTACATCACATTATTGTTGTCGACAAAATGGCAATCTGAAAAAAAGAAGAAAAAAACAAATTATTGATATTGATATGTTTGATTATTGGGATAAAGGATGATTCTTTTCTGTAAAACAAACAAATGCCAGTTATTTTCTTTCGTTCTAATCAATAACACTAATCAATTGAATCGCGTGAATTCGTAAACGGGAAAAAAAAGAAAATTTTAAAGCAATTTAAGCCAAATAGACATAAAAATGGGTTTTTCATTTCGTTTTTTTTTCTCATAATAACTATGATGATGATGATAATGATTATCCATTTGTAAAAATGCACAGAATCCAAAGAGAATAATAATAATAATAATATGTAGGTATAGGTATAGATATAGATCGTTTTCAACATTTTAATATCCAATTCTTGTTTTTTTTTCTTTGCTGTTTTCAAAAATGAATGAATGAATGAATATTATTATTATCATCATCATCATCATAATCATTATTATTATAAGTAAAATTGGTAGAAAAAAATTAATATCGGATTCAATGATTATAACCGGGCGGCTACTCAATGGTTGTTGTTGTTGTTGTTTCAATTTGAATAACGGGTGTGTTGGTTTCATCATCATCATACATGTCGCCATGATGATGATTCTTCAGGTTCATTTTTAGACTGCTGGCTAGAGTTCTTTTGTTTTTTTTCCATTTTGGTCTCTAATTTGATATTAATTATATGTTTTTCTTCTCTTTTATATTATTTTTTTCCACTGAAACACGATGATGATAATTATGTTTTGAATGAGCTACAACAGACACACACTGTTACTTGTAACCATTGGTTGTTTTTGGTTGGTAACTGAATGAAAAACTAGTAATAAATTCATCACAAATGACATATACACCAGAAAGATCATGATTCTATCCAACATTTGAATAAATTTGGTCGTGTGTGTGTGTGTGTGTGTGTATTTGTTTTGATCCATTTTGTGCACAACAACGACTAAATTATAATTATTCGTTGTTTTGCAAAAAAAAAGAGAAAAAAAAATTCATCAAAAGGTCGTTCGATGTGTTTGCGTTTTCATCGATAAACATTCATTCAAATTTCATCAATCAAATATGTGTGTTGCAATTTTGTCATTCATTTTCTTTTATTTATATGATAATAAGGATAAACATTGACGATGATTTACTTATTGAATGATAATGTTTATTTTTAATTAAAGATGGATTATCTATGCATTATTATTATGTTATGTAACAAAGACATTATATCGTTAATAATAAGAAAAAAAAAGAAAAAGAATCATGAATATTTTTGTCTTTTTCTTTTTTTACGAATAATAATGATGAATAATCCACACAGACACATGAATTACATGTCGTCGACAAACAAATAGTTTTTTTCCACAAATCATCATTTGTACACACATACAAATAACGATCAAAAACAATGGGCGTGTATTTGTACATGGACAACCAACCAACCAACCAACCAAAACAAAACAAAAATAGGAAGTTAATTGATAGAAAAAGGCGACAAAGAAAAAAAAACACGGTAAAACAAAACATTCATACATTTGAATAGGTCACATCAATCGTTCAAATTTACAAATAATCATACAACAACAAGCAAAGGAACAAACTGTAAACATTATAGACTGGTTTGCAAAAAAAAAACTCATCACCCGGGAATGAAAAAAAGAAGAAAAAAAATCAAGATAGAATCATCATTGTCATTAGACTTTTATTTTATTGTTACTATGTGTGTTCCGAACCAAAATGAAAGATCCAGAAATAAATGGAATCGAATCGGCACCATTTTGGAACAAGAACTGATATAATCTTTGTATAGCAACTATGTTTTTTTCTAATTCACTGGTGAAACAAGTGTACCATTCATTCATTCATTCCATTGTTGAATTCGAAATTATATGAAATCTTGATTCCATTTAACTAGGGATAACAGACACACACACACACACTTATGGATCGACAAGATCATTATGGTTAAACAACAAAACTATGATGTTGTGAATAGTCAGATGATGATGATGATGATGATGATAATTTGTTCGAAATGACCATACTATTTCTACTCTAATTATCGAATCATCCGTTGGCACCATCGATCAATGTTGTTTTTGGTTGTGCTGTGCTGTACTGTGTTAATGTTAACTAACAAAAACAGAATAAAAATGACAAAACTAGAAATTGTTTTTCGATTGTAAACAAAAAGTGAACAAAACGGTATTCATCATCATCATCCATCATTAGTCGTTTGTTCAAATATGAATTTTTGTTGTTGTTGTTGTTGTTGCTCGGATAAATACAAAAAGCAAAACAAACAAGGCATACAATTTATTTTGACACACACACACACACATAGTGTTTCTAGAACATAGTACTGGATTATTATTATTATTCAGGAAAAATGGACTTTCTTATGAAAATTTTGTGTGTGTGTGTGTATGGACCGGTTTGAATTTTTTTTTTCATTTTGTTTTGTTTTTCATTCCAATATTGTTCCATGGAAAGCATTTTTTGATTATTTAATTTCATTTCACTTCAATGGCAACATTGCACATTTTATATGTATGTTTTTTTTTCATCAACAAAAAAATTTTTCCTACAAAATACATACACACACACACACAGTCGAAGCAGAAAAAAAACTTAAAAGTCTGAAAAACTAAAGAGAATCCAAAGAATTGACTCGGCCAACAACAACAACAACAAAATGACCACCGCCACCACCATCATTATTATGTATTTCAAATACTTCAACGTTTTGTTATTTTTCATTTGAAACTTTTTATTTTTTTTTTTTCTTTTTTTTTTTTTTTTGGTCTCAAAAACTAAATAATAAGGTTACTGCATATTGTTTTTTTGGGGGCATCTTTTCATCTTTGAACAAAAGCTAGAATAAGTTTTTTTTTCATTTCTTCATTGCCAAACTACTGGCCACTGTGGTGGTCCAAATAATTATAGTTGTCCTAATATTTGGATCATATACGTGTGTTCAGTGTTTAGGTTTTTCATTCCAGAATCTAAATGTATTCGATGGATTCTGTGATGCCGATTATTGAAACTGATTATTCGACGACATAACAAAAAAAAAACAGAGTCATGATGATGTTGATGATGATTATATGTTTCATGTGTTTTTTTTTGTTTCAAATCATCAAAACAAACAAACAAATAAAAAAAAACATGCACACACACACACACACATGAATGATTATTGCATCAAACAATATATTGTTTAGACAATTGCTGAGTGATGATAAAGTCGTCGTCGTCGTTGTAGTAGCAGAATTTCAAAATTTTGTCAATTGAATAAATTTTTTACATTTTCAAATAATAAAAAAAAATTATCATGCTCCCACATCATGTAAATGATTCATTTATGGTACAACGAAAATAAAAATGAATGGAATGAATCTAGAATTTTCCATTTCGTTTCCAGAAATATATGGTGTTGATGGAAAATGATTTTTTGTAAAATAAATGACATATGGATAATCATCATGTGATTCTATCCAAACACAACATTAGGGTCATAAAATGGTAAAAAAAACAACAACAACAACAAAATAAAACAATCGACAGACAACAACAATTTTTGATTTGTACCGAAACATAACCATTATATATTGATGATATATATGGTATAGATATTCAATCGGTAATTCGTTTATGTTCAAATTACAGACAAAAAAAAGGGAAGCAAACAAACAGAATTGAAAATTGAAAATTTCTCATTAAAATGAAATTTTTACTGATAACCAACCAGGCCAATCACTCAACTATATTATGATTTTTACAATTGCTTGTTTCATAACCGTACAAATTGATGGTTTTTCAACTGGCCAAAATTTAACATGACATGAAGCAATGATGATGATTAGGATGATGATGAACAAAACTAAACTAAATAAAAAATAAAAAATTCAAGCCCGCTGGTAATATCATCATCATCATCATCGTTTTTTTTTACAATCTAAAAACCCAACGTTTTTCCGTACAAAATGCATTTCATATCGTGTTTGATATTATTAGGAGCCAAGAAATAAGATGAGAAAAAAAATTTTTTTTTGAGAAATGTGAAAAAAAACTGAAATAAAATTTAGATTATTATTTTATTATATTACATCACATCACACACATCATACACACACACACACACTGAGACATGGTGGGATTATTATTTATTTAAGGCTATGAATCTTTGCGGCCAGTGAAAAAAAAAACTGAATGAATGGATGGAACATTCACATAGATAGAATTCGATGGCCATAGAAAAATGATGATGATGATGACCAATGGGCCCAAGAAGTAAAGAAAAGAATTATGGCTTGAAAAAAAATCCAGAAATTTGGTTCTGTTGTGGTTGTTGTTGTTGTTTAGAAATTTATGAAATATAAAAAAAAAAATTTAAACTTTTTTCACTTCAATTTTAACCTAGTTTCAGTAGTTCAATGTATATTCTTTTCGCCAAAAAAAAAAAAATGTTATTTTTTCCTGTGTTTCCATATCCATATCGCACGCACACATACACATACAATGTGTGCAATGGCCAAATGGGAATTGATGAAAACGGCGCGAAAATTTTCATTTTCATTTTCATTTTCGTTTATTTTATGATTTTTTTTTCACACTTTTTTTCGGATATTGTTGTCGGCCGCTAGCTAGACTATTTTTTTTTTGTTCATTTCATCATTCGTATCGAAATGGATGAATGATAGTTACCACAT